AATGGACTAAATTATCCAAACAAAAGACTAGGTGGCTGAATGAATAAAAAACAAGACCCATCCATATGCTGCCTATAAGAGACTCACTTCATATGTAAGGACACACACAGACTAAAAGCAAAAGGATAGAAAATGATAATCTGTGCAAATGGAAATGAAAACAAAGATGTGGTAGCAATACATACATCAAATAAAATAGACTTCAAAATAAAGACTGTAATAAGAAAAGAAGGTATTACATAACTGTAAACAGGTCAATCTAACAAGATGATATAACATTTATATATTTTTATGTACCCAACATAGGAGCACCTAAATATATAAAGCAAATATTAACAGACCTAAAGAAAGAAATAGACAGCAATACAGTAATTGTAGGGGAATTTAATACCCCACTTACATCAGTGGAGAGGTCATCCAGACAGAAAATCTGTAACGAAACATCAGTCTTAAATAAGTTAGACCAGATGAAAAATAGCTTAATTTGTAATGTTAAATGGGTAGAAGCAAAATTGAACGTGAGGGTGTTGCTTAACACAGAGTTTCTGAAGAGCAACATGAAAATGTCTTATCCCCATTAAACTCCAACAATGCAATCATTGTGGTAATGGTTTGGACCTACAGTGGTGATATGACTCTAAGAGGGCTCACTTGATAAGCAAATTATATTAAAGGACACACATAAGTGACTTCAATAAATGGTATATTCTTTAAACATTTTAACTGTAAAATTTAAGTCTTGAAATGGTAAAATGATAACCAAAAATACATGGCAATTTTACTTAACCTTTCTGCTTTCAAAAAATGAAATAGCTGAATCACACCTACTTCACAGAATACTGGCTACTGTTTATCATCTTTCAACCTAAAATCCTTCAGTTTTAGGATTAGAAGCAATTATTCCAAAAGAACTGAAGATATCTTCCAGTCACCCCCATTTTACTTACAACAGAGGTAGTAGTGTTGGGAATCATTTCCTGCAGGCCTGACTCTGTTCTTACGTGGAAGATCACTAACCCAAAGTGTGTGGCTCAATCCTACTCAACCCCATTGCTCCCTATGAATTAAGGTCTCCAGGTTGTCATCAGTCATCCTATCCTCACACACGTACTTTGCTGGACATTGGCACACACTCCACTCTAGAAGATACTCCAGTTTCGATAAAACCCCATCTTATCTACCTACATGTATCTTAGGATACATGTATATAATACACTTATATATGCATTTCAATCCTCTAGCTTTATAGAATTCCATTGAAAAACAACAGAATCGAGACCCATTAAACAAAGTGTGCCTGCAATAAAAGCTGTAGAAGTAAAATCAACAGGTCACATACTTAAGTGCCTGCATTCTACAATGTAGAACAGTGGAAGAGAGCATTCCTGGCTGTGCTGAGGTATAGCAAAGCTCACAATAGGGTTTCTTTTGAAAATGTGCGGGTTGCTCTTTGCTCTGCACTCTAAGTACCCTGCAGAAGGTCAGGATTTAATTTGCCAGCCTTCCATTTCAGGGTCATTTGAAGCATGCTTATGATAGCTCCCCCCTCCCCCAATATGATGACATTTAGCGCATGGAGCACATTTCCACGAGAAAGAGACTCTGTAGTTCCGCCATTACACAGGCGGCACCTCAGCATTCCTTTCTACCTACCAAAAACTTTTTGGAAAAGGGACTCATTTAATCTCCTTTTTAATGTGACCCAATATGTTTTCACAAACGGGAGATTTTTCTCAAATGTGGCATTCATAACAGTCTGCGTGGGTTTATGTGGCATGAGTAAATCAAACAGGGAACCTCACCATTTTGACAGTCTGATTTAACTGGACCATTTTAAAGTACTATGAGAAGCAAGAGCAAATACAGACAAGCCAACCAAGGAATTTTTAAGCCAGTCCAATTGAACCGCATATTTATTCACACAGACCACCTCAATCACCTGAAAAACTCTGAATTTAATTATATTCCATGCTTTTAGGGATTTCACTAGAGATTTTAAAGACAGGAATTATCCTATGCCCTACAAAAAGAAATATTTGTGGTTAGTAGAGATGTGCCTGCATGGTCTAGCTCCATCACTCCCACTCTTAATCATTACATCATCTACTCAAAAATCCCTGAAAGCGTGTTTGGGCCAGTACTAGATATAATTGGTTAATTCCATAGGAAGCCTGATTCACTGATGTTAATTTGAGGCAGTCTGCACTATTGGTTTTCTATTTAAGCATCAAAAGGCAAATGAGCCAGTTGTGTTTCATGTAGAATAATTAGCTTATAATCTGTGCATTTAAACAGAATGCTGAATTGGAGGGACTGCTTTGACTAGACTTATTCAACTGAAACCTATTTAATCTTCCATTCCAGTCCTATAATTTGCTGACTTCAGTAGCTGATACTGCTGTCTTTGTGTTTCCAGGACTTAGCCTTGTAAAGAAGATGTACTGCAGGACACTTGAAGATCCCAAAGGGATAACCAAGAAAACATGCTTACTCCAGAAACCAGTTAGCTATTTCCAAGCTGCTTCAGAGTTGAGAGAAATTCTCTCACATCTTGCATCCAGCTCTTAAGCTCCATGGTTCAGGTAAAGGGAGAAATTGGTTACTGAGCAATCAAAGGTTGTCTTTACAGTCAGTAGAACTAGATAGAAGTTCTACTGGATAGGAGGACATCTAACCAAGATGAGTTCCGATGATAAAACACGGATCTATTGTTCTCCCAAGTCCACAAAAAAGCTCGCCAAAAGAAAGAAACTTTGTTCAGAAAAATTAAGTACAGTTTAAAAGAGGAAAGAATTTATTTGATGGAAAGGAACGAAAGAAAAATCCACTCCAGGAATATTTATATATGAAGAGACTCTCTCTCTGTTATTTTAGGTATTAGCTTCAATGAGGCAGGAAGCAAGGGTATGAGATCTTAAAACAGTGTCTACTTCAAAGTACCCATAATTCTATATTCAAACATGATGGTATAATTGACTTGATAATAGCATGAATAATTTGCCTCAAGTAAGCAAATATTTTTTAAGCATTTACTATGTGGCTCTGTTTATCTTAGGCAATGTAATATATATTTTGTAGTGGTCTGTGTAAAATTCTCTTTGTGATTCTATTCTCTGAGGGTCACTGTACCTGTATCCTGTTTTGGCTGTATCACTTTGTATATATAAGAATGATAATGCCACCTATCTCCTTTGAGACTCCATTTCTCTTATGTTTTCAGTTCAATGTAAAGCCAGAAAGTCCTAAGCTTGAATCCTGTCCCAAATACTGAATTCCTGTATAACTCAAGGCAAGTATTTTAATGTCTGCAAACTTCAGTTTCCCCACCTGCAAATGATGATGATGATAATAATGTTTTTCTAGTAAGGTTATTATGAAAATAAAATGAAAAAATTAATGTAAAGGGCTTATAATGAAGTCATTATGGTAAATGCAAAAGAAATCTTACTATTCTTATAAAAGCAAAAGCATGTATGTTCTTATAAAAGATTCGTTTCTGCCCTTATGGAGATTATAATCTCATGGCAAAGAGTGGCAATAGTTGTGTGGGAAGGATGTTCTAGATCGGGAAGTCCACTCTGCCAGAGAGACCTAACTAGAGTGCAGGAGTCAGCCATACTGAATCTGGAGGCAAAGCATGAAAGGCAGCCCAGAAGAAGTGCATAAGCCCTAAGGAGGAAATGCCTTTGGGAAAACACAGCCACTGTGTCCACAGTGGAGTAGGAGGAGAGAAGGGTCATCTTAGAGAAAGTCGGCTGACCTTATAGCCATGCTAAGGATTTTTGTTTCACTTAGCTTTGAAAAACCAATGAACAACTTTGAGCAAGAGCACGACTCGATGTGATTTATTTTTAAAAATCACTCTAGGGGCGCCTGGGTGGCTCAGTCATTAAGCATCTGCCTTCAGCTCAGGTCATGGTCCCGGTGTCCTGGGATCGAGCCCCGCATCGGGCTCCCTGCTCCGCGGGAAGCCTGCTTCTCCCTTTCCCACTCCCCCTGCTTGTGTTCCCTCTCTCGCTGTGTCTCTCTCTGTCAAGTAAATAAATAAAATCTTTAAAATCAATCAGTCAATCAATCAATCAATCACTCCAGTGGCTTCCTTGTTACTCAGTTACAAAGGATAGCTTTATGTCTGTTTTCTTTCTTTCTCTTTCCTGTGTCTTTACCCAAACACCTATTTCCTTTCCCAAATGACTTCTGTTTCTTTCTTGAAACACTTTCAAGAGAAAATAAACTCATTATTTTTGCCAAGGAAATAGTCTTGGCTTCTGTATGTCTTGGGGTGAAATGGCATTTTTTGCTACTGAATGTGCTACATTAACATTTTTAAGTGAAACTGATCATTTTAATTATGCTAATAAAGTTTTTTGTATTTTCTTCATATTAAGATCAATAATTACAAGTCCACCCAAATACTCATATGAATGTATAGATTAAGATGTTATCAGAAGCTAATTACTCTACAATCATATATGTAAAAAATATGTTCTCTAATCAGAATGCTGCAAATGTATAACTATTTTTAATATTATTGGTTAAAAAATTGTTTAATATATAATTTTTTTAAATTCGGTCTACTTATGAGTAGATCAGGAGCCAAGAAGTCAGTTCAACTGTGCCAGCCTGTGACAGCAAGTGAATCTCTTACCCATTTACAACCTGGGTTCCTCGTCTACAGTATGAGGATACCAGACAGAAAATAATAGGTTTCTTTCTATGAATGTTATATCTAGATAAGTTGTAAACATTCAACTTAACATTTATATAGCATATCACTTAGTCTTTTCATTTAGTCTGACTTTCCAATGTGTGTCTGTCCCTTAACTTATTGTTCTTTAAATTGTTTCTGTAGGGCCTTCTTTCATAGGTAACAACTGACTAGATCCATGTAGAGTACAAATGAATTTTGAACGTTAATATTATATGTTTATTAATCTTCATTTCTTTCCACTACAATGAACTTTTCTTGATTTTTCTATATGCCAATATATTGGTTTTAGATTCTCAATGGAAAATTAACTTCTTGAACAAGTCCCTGCGAAAAGATGTAATGGTATTATATCACCATTGAATAAACAAATTTTTCCTGAACTTAAAAATTTCTTTCTAAGCTGTATTATATACCCCTACCAAAGTGTTTCTTCTTTCAAACTGCAAAAGGTGTTGTATTTTTAAAAGTTAAAACTTATTTTAACTCATCATATTATAAGCACATATTGAACATCTAAATAATGTGTCTTGAAATCTTGTGCTTGGAAAATTCTTACTGCTGAATTGCTCCTCCTGGAAATCTGGCCTTAATTTGCATTGAATTTCAATGACTTCCTTAAGCAAACACCTGGAGTTCCTCCAGTCTAATGGAAATGAGGGTCCACAGACACAATTGTGCAGAAACAGTGAGTTCTTTGGCAGTTTTAGAAAGGTTGAATGTTGGCCATCATCCCGACCACAAGCTGTTCACACTGTTATTTCCAGACAGGCAGTGCAAGCAAGGTACAATATTGCTCTTGCTTGAGCAAAAGGATTAGAGCCTCGATACTGCTACAAACTGGTATTTGTATGGTGAAGCAGTTTCATTGTCATGATGGTCATGCTCATGACTCGGGAGGCTTCTAAATAACTGTGGTTTTGGACCTCTGCCAAGTCTCCCAGTCCCAAAATGGCACTCTCTCCAGACCCACTTGGATGGTCTAGATTTTAGACCATGTCAAGAATGGTAGAGAAGAGCATACCCCGAACACTGATGTATATCTCTGCTGCTCCCCCAGGAGCCTAGATCCAAGGATTTCTTAATTTCCCTTCTACCTCTATTATAAACCAGCTATAAAACTTGGAGTTAGTCCAAAGAAAAGCAGTCATTGGTAATGGATTTAGAAAAAGGAGAATTAAAAAGGCCAACTGTTCAACAGCAACAAAAAAGAGGAAATGAAGCAAAGTTCACTACATGTCTGGAAAATATTAAATGATGCAGAACAATAGGAAATTTGGAGTATAAAAGCATAAGTCAGGAGAAAAGGAAATGGACATATAAGCAGACTAGATTTTAGAAGAACATTTCTCAGCCATACATGCTGTGCTCCACAGTGTTATTGGAAACTTCAGTGTTTTGTGCAGTACTGTGAAATTTTTTCTAGTGTGGAAAATTTCTGTTAGAAATGAAGCTAAATAATATTACAGCGTGAACAGTTAAACGACTAGGTTGACAAAATGAGACAGATCTGGCACTAAGGAGAAGATAAGAGGCATATTGTAATGTCCAACTGGTGTTAAAAGAAAAATCATGTGTTGAGACACACACCAAGGGGTCTGGCTGTCAAGGAGTTTTCCCCACTCCCATGTAACCATGGGGTTATTTAAATGCTTCTGAACTATGGGTACCCAGTGATAGTTATAGAGTCTCCTGGATGGGTTACCTTACTCACATTACATCTGAAGGCTGGCTAAGAAGGGGACATTTAAATTTCGTGCAATTCCTCTAATTCTGTCCAATCAGCTTCTGATGTTGAGTTTTGAATTAATCTTGCCAACAGTGGGTAAAATTTTCAAACATTTACTGTTTATTCACTCAAAATATGTAAGTTTTTTGAGTTAGTGTGTAATATGTAAGTGCTGAGCCTTCTGTGAAGTGAATTAAATAAACATAGACTCACCACTCTGGAGTTTAGTCTCATACAGAAGACACAATCATCCTTAGGGAAAAAAAAGATGCAGGTACCAGTAGAAAAATAGGCAAAGGAGGGGCGCCTGGGTGGCTCAGTCATTAAGCGTCTGCCTTTGGCTCAGGTCATGATCCCAGGGTCCTGGGATCGAGCCCCG